CACACACACACACACTCTTTTGTTGCCATGGTACCCTGTCATTACAGCTCTGCACACTGCATTAAAATCTAGGTTACCGGATGTGACGTCGGTGCCCTGCCTCCCTGTCCAGCTGTAATCTCTTAAATCCGTGTTTAATGTCCCTGAACGCACCGGATAGCAGACGTTAAAGGAAAATTGTGGAAAAATACAAAAGTAGGTTCAGAAATTTAAACACTAGTACTCAGAAATGTAGATTTTTTTTGTCGCTGGTGCTGTTAAACACATTAATTTTGAACACATGCTCGCCTGGAAGTATGGTTATTTTGAAAGCCACCCGGAACTTGTAAATTCTTTCGCTTTTACTCTTTGTTATATATACACATCTTAACGAGTAAATATAGTTTGTTAAAGCAGACTTTATGAGTAACGTAACGTAAATTACAAACTTATTTTAATGAATTAACGTCTTACATTAAATGGGAACTTTTATTTGAAGGTTTTTGGTATTTTTGACACTCTGACGCGTTTTATTTTGACAGTCCGGTACCGGAAATGCTTTTAAATTGACGCTAACCTGACGTCACTGTTAGCAGCTAAAACCCAGACGGCTGAAACACGAGTGTCTTCATCTTGGAAATAATCGATATAAAATCGGATTGTTTCAGTTCAGAGATACATCTGGTCGTCGTGTCTGCTCGCTGCTCCGTAATGACGCCCGCTGTTTGCTCTGCTGGAGGTTTTAACCGGTGAAAAACTTAAAAAAGGTGAGAAGCGCCTGACACAAAGCTAACAGGCTAAAGTAGCGCTGGCATGCATTGTCGTTTCCCTGGAGGGATTCCGAGTCTCCCCTGAGGCTCTTTGTGGCTCACTTTATTACACTTTATTACACTTTATTACACTGAATGAGTGCTAACACGAAGAGGAACTGATTGTGTGTAGATAAGGATTACATATTAACTCTTACTTTCTTTTTTTGGGGGGTTGGAAAGTACCTGAAATGTTTAGTGAAGCGTTTATCTTCGTTCTCTGCTGTTTACTTAACGTAAGCTCCTTTAAAACTCTGCGTATTTTCTGTGTATTTAGCTTTATATGTGTGGAATGTGTGTGTTTTTAATGATACAAACTGTGGTACATGTTAGAGACTCTGTTGTTGTCGTTTCGGCTTCATTAATGTTGTCTGAAGTTCCTTTAGATTAGATCTTCTGACAGGAACTGATGGGGGAAATACCAGTTTAATGTGAAAAAGAACCTATTGTTTCTGCTCATAAAGCCACTGCAGCTCTAAATCAATCAGTTTGGGTCACCACAATTAATTTGTGTCTATTTTTATTGTCAGTGACTGTTTTTAAGTCACTTATCAGGTTAAAATGTAAATTATTTTATGATTTCAGCTCCTCAAAATGTGAATTTTTGATCATTTTCTAGTTATTAATTAGGTACAACCAAACGATACTTTTAACTATAGATGTATCTTTTTTTCTCTATTAATTGTGTGGTTTTATAAAATGGAAAAGTGATAAATTCTCTCCACTGAAGGAGAATTTATCACTAATCTTAAAGAAATAACTTCCTGTTGGTTGACTAATGGATTAATCATATATCCGTTTCATCTTTTGGTTTCATGTCAATGCAACAGTTTTTAGACTCCATGTTTATAATTAATCTATTATTAGAAAAATGAGTTGTTACAACACAAACGTCACACATTGATCGGTGTGATCGGTGTGATCAGGATCCTCTGACACATCAGGATCTGGGTTTCTGGGTGTTTCACCGCCTCATGTGAGCAGCTCCTGGAGGGAAACCCTGTTTGAAGAACTATTTTTAACAGACGAATAAAGAAACATGAAATCATTGCCTCCATATTTGAGAGGTTGAGTATAAAATAAACTTCCAGTTGACCTTTTATTTTACTTTAGGCACTTATAAACTGTCTGTGAGTGAGTGCACATGTGGCTGTAACGTCGTGTGCAGTTATCAGTCGGCTCACTTTAACTCAGAAATTATTACAATAAACAATATTAATGTGGTTTTAAGACCATTTTATGCCACTGGTGGTAAGTGTGGTAATGTAAGTACAGTGAACCTTTAATCCCTGACATTATTCAGACATTATTCAGACATTGATGTGTGGAAGAAACAGCGTAGTTCTTTGTTTGTTCAGCAGCGCAGTCGCTGTGAAAAGATGCTGAGGCCGACTCTTCTAGGGGTGGGAAACCCTGCTGCTGTAGTTCAACAAGATCGAGAGGCCGTTAAATAGCGATACGGACCTTAAGATGAACATTTAGAACCTTTATTGTAATAGTTCTTAAAGTCGAGCATTAAGTCTTTGTCATCAGGGAGTTTCCACAGTTATACGACAGACAGAGTTCACTGGTGAATAATCTGATGATCTCTCTGATTAATCACTGAGTTTAAACAGTCAGTGCGGAGAAACGTCCACTGTGACGCCTTCAGACGTCTCGTTATAAACTGATAATGTAAAACGTGTTTGTGTTCCAGTAACTTCAGTTAAATATAGAAATGAATAGAATGAGATTCTGTAAACATTTATCCTGTTCTCCATAATTACAGTTTATAAAGTATA